TTTTCCAAAATCAACCTTCACCAATAGAGAGGCAGACTAGTGCAGTCGAGGCAATCAAACTTTGGTAAATTCCTTTGCGAGCCAATCAAAATTAAGACCACTCATGAAGTGAATTTGTGGCGTATTCATATAATAATTATTGGTAAAATCAGTTATATTAACAACTTCTAATATATAGAAAAGCCAGTGGTTTTGGTAACATACGTTCCAACAATGGCTTTTGTCATGTCACTTAGCAACAAAAGTATAACCTAATATTGTTGTTAGTCTATGTACTGAAAGTATGAAATTTAATGTATAGACAACAAAACTGGAAAAATATTTGTTGATTTCTGAATTTAGCCCTCACTGAATAAAGAGGTTTTTTTTATTAAAAACGTCGGTGATATAACTGAAAATAGTTTAATTCAGAAATGATTAAAGTTTAAAATTGAATCGATATGTTTACTTTCATAATAAATTTTATGTACTTGTCTCTAAGCTAGGTGATCCCACAATACATCTTTATTTTAAGCATATTATACCAACACTTACAACACTTATAAGGTTTCACGACACTCCCTTGCCAACCCCCGTAACTAAAATTGTAATGGGCAGACAATAATCGAACTATTCTATCCTCCTAGTTTGAGAAATCAAGCGTGACGTGACCCACACTAGGTTTTATACAGGATGCTAACTATAGAATTAACTTGACTAAAATTACAACTTCCTAGTGAAATCCTTACCTTCCCTCCTTTACCAGCAAAACATGTTAAATCATTAGAGCTGGTGAATTAGTGGAATCTGATAATTATTTGTCGGGCTCATTAGTTAATTACATTAAACAGATTATTGGATAGTTGGAATAACTGAAATAAAAATTTAAATTAGGTGATTATTTTTCGAGTCTTTACACTAATCAATTAAGTTCAACAAACTTAAATTTATCAAAAATAATACTAAGAAACCATAATGGTAATATTTCAATTATTTGGATAGTTGTAAAACACTATTTTCCTCATTTCATTTGGTTTGTTTATTTTCGTGCCATTAATAGATGTAATTGAAATTGATACTCATAAGATACTCTATTTTCCAGCTCTGAAAGTCATTAAATTTTAATTTAAAAAATATTAACAATTTTGAAGAGAAAGTTGGGATTATTGTAAAAGCTACTCACACTTTGTGGCAATCTCTGGTTCCATAGAATAACGCCCCATTCTGATTCTTGATGCCTGTAAAAATACATGTACTTAATATTTGTAACTAACACAGAAATGTTCATATTATTTACTTCCAAAACAGCCTCACACTAAATATAAACCTGTCTCGTTTACAGCATTCAAACACAAATTTTGTTGCATTAAGGTAAGCCGGTGTTTTTTAAAGTAAAATTTCCAGAATTAAACACCTAAAATGGGATTCAAAGTGATAAAAGTCGAGTAAAAACACCACGAGAAAAGTCATTTATTGTAAAATATGTGTAAAATGTTTATGTAAAGCTACACGTGAAATATCTGCTTATAGCCATGTTAATTTTGAACTAAAATTATAGAAGGGAAGACAAGTAGTCAAAAACCATCATCATCATCAACTCTTGGGCTCTATCGTCTGACTGATAAGAGGGATTTGAGCACCAGGGTTTGAAATAGCTTCGAGACAGGTACTGTATTTACATCGGACAGGTGCATTTTTCAGATGTGTGTTAAGACATAATTACTGTGAAGAAATTTTTAGTAATAATAACACTGCACACAGATGTCTGACCCTAAATTGTGGTTTCTCAGGTATCATACATCTGTTGAAACTGATGCTGGACAAACTTTGGTGTAACTGACATTGGCAAATGGTACTACAAACTATGCTGTTCGTATAAAAAAAACAGTTGATAATATCCTCCAATTTTGTTTCAAAAAAGGATGATAAAAATGTAGTGATTATGATGACAGTAATATTAATGCTGCTAAACAAGTCAAAAGTAAGAGTAACTACAATGTTGTCAACAAAAATTTGAGCAATCTGGCTTAGGAAATCTAAATTTGGTCATAAAAACAATGGCTTGATTAACGTGAATAAAAAAGTATAATGTACTACAAGTTTTGTATCATGTATGGTCTGTTTGTTGAATTTCATGCAAAACTACACGAGGCCTGTCTGTGTTAGCCGTCCCTAATTTAAGTAACAGACTAGAGGAGAGACTAAACACTACCAACTCTTGGGCTATTCTTATCTAATGAATAGTGGGATTGACTTTAAATTATAACAAGCATGATCAGTACGGGGATTTGAACTCCCAACCCACAGATTGCAAGTTGAGCATCCTTACCACTAGGGAATTACCTATGGCAGAACATATGAATAAATTTATTGACGGATGTGGCAGTTTGAGAATAGACAATATTGTTAAACATAAGTGTAGTTCTGCTGATATTTCCGCACATGGTCAGATACATTCCTAGAAACATTAAGTATAGAAACAAAGTAATAGGTTTCTAATGAAGGTTACTAGGTTAAAGGGTCATATATCACATCATGTATCTGTACACTGTGCAGACAATTGCTTTGAACTAGGGGTGAAAATACATGGAAGTTATTTCTTAAGTAACAGTTTAAAACTTAAAGTTTATACTCTTATGGTAATTCTGATCAGGAAACTGATAAAGATAAAAATAATTCTGTAGACTATTGTTTGTAAGTTTTTTCTTCCTTCCTTGCAAGGATTCATGGCAACTGACAATTGAGACTTGGAAGTTGCAGCTATTATTATAGCAGTGCTCATATGAATTTGAACAATTATGATGTAATACCTACTACTAAATAGGAACACCTTTTTTTAAATGACCAGGGGTGATGGTTGGTTATACAACTACGTTAGACAATGATGTACAAGACATGTTCTATAATGGATGGTAGGAAGGGACAATGGAGGAGTTTAGGTTTAAAATGTGTATCTCTCCGATAGACAATTAAATATGTATCCGACGCTACTCTTTCAGTGTACTTATGGCTCAAAAGTGCAAAGAACATTCTTGCACCAACAGATCACCATAAAACAGCTGCAGTATTACCATCTTTGTACCATGTGCAAGTAATGTCCCACGCTGATAAACAGCCTACTCTTGCAAGGTGGTTTAGACCTCCTTCATTTGAAAACTCATTGTCTGTTGCATGTTCCCAGCATATACTAATACTTTGGTTTGTTGGTATGTATAATTCTGCAGGATTCCAAATATTTTTAATATATACATGTTACAAAATATATTTTTCTTAATAATGCATCAATGTCATTAGGATAGGTAAGATACTTCGATAGTGCTAACTGGTAAAAATCAACCAGATACAGCAAAAGATACACATTTAGGGTAATTAAGACTTGATGAATCAGGCGTAATGTGACCAATGTCCCATTTTTGAGCTGTCTGTCCCCAAGAAACTTTAGGGTAATGTAAAAATGTCCTACTTTCAGAAATAACGAACCTAAATGTTCCGCATCATCAAAATTAATACTGGTAAGTATTACTGTAATATGACTGCACACAAGATTTGTCCTGTTCTCGTATAATATCCTCCATTTTCATATATTAATGTTCAAATACGTAGATATTCATATACTTATTGAGGATGTAATAAGCTGAAATCACTTGTTTACTGTCTCATAAAACACTGTTAGCCATCGACCTTTATACTATGAAATCACCGAAATGTATATTAGAATTCATTATATAGTAATATTGTTATAACTGACAAAAACAATATAAAATAAGTTTCATTTACTTCGGGATATGTGCTAAATGTCCAAAACATCTTAAGTTGTTTGAGATAACATCCTCTTATAACAATTTTAATGATTAGATGGTATGTAATATAATGTATACTTTATGAATGTAATTTTTTTTCTATTGCATGGTTCCAAAATGCACTTCTGATTTGTTAAAGAATACAATATCTAATGAAAAGTATAATACTAAGATGGTATGTATTTTTTAAGAAAAGAAGTTTTAATTTTTTATTCATGAATTAGGTGTCCCGCTTTGGACTCCAGAAAATTTGGTCACTTTAATTTGCTGGTAAAGATACAAAACACCCATTTTTTTTTATTATTATTGGCTTGTGCTGTGGTTGGATTTATGAATGTTTAACTTTAAGCTCTACTTATATCGGATAAGTGACCAATTTTTTATTTTTCATAGGGCATATCTTGGTGGCTCTCCTAATGATTAATAACGTGTCGCATGTTTGCTTTTGTGACTTAGTCTGATGATGTTAACATTTTATCATCCTCTCGTCATCTTTCTCTGGCTAAACACACTTCCTTCACTTCTCTGACAAAAAAGGTTCACGTTCACCTTCCAAAAATATTTAAATAATCCTCCAAAACTCAAATTTACCGAGTTAGGATTCGGAAGTAAAAAGGCCTACTTTCGTTTAAGTAGTACTTAATAATTTGTGATATTACACCTGACCGTTCAAAACACTAGAGAAATATTTTACCTAAGCTTGATTAACATTTCGATTATTTACTTGACATATTATGATAAGTAATAAACATAATACTTTATAGACCAAATTCGAAAAAATCTTAATACTATTAATTCTATATTACACTTTGCCAATGTACGTCAAGACATGCTCTAAGAAGGACACCAAAACAGATATATGTCACACTTTGCCCCAAAATATTTTATAGGCCATTAAATTCATTCTCTAAATATTTAATTATTTGATTTCCTACGATAAATGTTAAGTTTTTACCACAGATTTACAACGATTACTTTTAACACACAATAAACTCCGCTACACTCTTACCTGTAGGCTTCCGAAGAGATCTCGTAAGAAACGAGGAAAGTTGACTTTGCTTTGATTGCCCTCTGTATTTTTTATACGGAACTTACTTATACTATGTTTTTCGTAATACACGTTTTGATAATGCTGATGTTTATGTAATAACTTCTACCATAAGATTTGCTAAAATTCTACAATGATAATTATAATAAATAATATTAATTATAAGTAACAGGCAAACTACAAAAAATTTCTACAAGCATTCTACTCTAGGTCATCAGATGGGTAACCTCGCTGCAAGCGAAGTGTTTAGTACTTGACCCTCAAAAATACCTGACGAAGCACTTAGTTATATTATCATGCGCCGAAGCAAGTGTAACTACATATACCATACCTATCACATTTGGAAATGACTGAAACCAATAAAATTAAAAAGTATTTTGTAGCAGGTGACTACATAAAAAATAAAAATACTTACACCGATATTATTTCATTGAGATTTTGACAGCAGTAATAACACACGAAATAGATAAATAAAAATTCAAAATCATTATAAGTTTAATATTGCTTATAGCTATCCAACCTTAAAAAATCAGAACTTGCTTTTACATCATTTTACATGCAGGGGTGGCTTGGTGGGCTAAAGCCCTTCCATTTCTTCCCTTATGCGGCCCGGCATGGCCAGGTGGTTAGGGAGCTCGAATCGCAATCTGCGGGTTCGAATTCCCATCCCACCAAACATGCTCGCCCTTTCAGCCGTGAGTTCAATGTGACGGTCAATCCCATTATTCGTTGGTAAAAGAGTAGCCCAAGAGTTGGCGGTGATGACTAGCTGCCTTCCCTCTAGTCTTACACTGCTAAATTAGGGACGGCTAGCGCAAATAATCTTCTCTTATGCTCCAAAAATGCTCTTTTTCTCAGTCATATAAAATTGCCCACAACTACGGAAAAAAACACGTTTAAATCCACACCTTACTTGCTGTAAGTTAGAAGAGAAAAAAAATCAGCTTTAAATTGAATTGCATGCAAGGACTTGAATGCTATTAAATCTTAATATGCAGAAATGTAGTTTGGTTTTAAATCTTAAAAGTGTTTATGAGACAGATTGAACAGGAATAAAAGACGATCTGTTTGCTTCACATGGCTTTCTACTATATGTGTACCAGAGGCAACCCACAATTCCCCTAACACCCCCCCCCAAAGTCTTGCCTTACGGTGCTTGAAAACTGCCCTTTTTTGTCAGTGACATCTGCACGTTACTGCCTTACTTGTTTTTTATTTCAGTCTTCGCATAGATGTCCTGTAATTTGAAATGACAGACAAGAGGAATGGCAGCTATTTAACAGTACCCTCCGCCAACTCTTGTTTGACAGTGTAGCATGACTTGACTGGCACTCTTATAGCACAACTGCCCCCAAAGTGCGGAGCAAGATTTTGTGGTAATGGAGCGCGAACCCTGAATTTAGTATTCATGTACAGTCCGAGTATGACACCCGCTAGGCTACATCCAGCCATTTACTTGTGACTTTATAAAATAAATGATGTCTTGATAAAAATAAAAAACAATGGTTAAAACTCTATAAAAAAAAGAAAGACCTAAAAGACTTATTACTGTGTATGTGCACAAAAGCATCACTTTCAAACATAGGTTTATTATTTATAGTGGAATTTGTTTTAACTAATAGGATCGTGAAAAAACGAGACAAGTGCTTAGGATTGTAACTGATAATACAGAAAGTTGAGTACGTTATATTAAAGCATCTTAAAATATGTAAATCAGTAAGTCAGGTGACAGCCGATATACATGTCTCACACATAAAGTGATGTTACCTATAATTATCACTTTTGGGAAAGGTGTGTAACAGCCAATCCCAACACAGAATGTTCAAATCATAAAGATGTGTTCAGATCGGCGACTTAGAATATCCAAGATGGGGGATATCCCTTGTACTTAATGACACTAGAAAACAAAGGAATGTTGATCAAGTTGGGCAACAGTAATATCCATAAAGAGGCCTAGCTAAAACAAGTCGTACCTCATGTATGGTAACAAAGTGCAGCGTCTTGTAACAGGTGAGAATCCAAGAACATAAATGTCAGTGGAATATGTTGTCTTCTCTCAAGTAACTGTACACAACATACTCACTTTGTTAGAGCGACACAAGATACGTTTATATAAATTGCTTCCACAACATAACCACTCAACTGTTACATACCTCAAGTAGCTGGAGAATGAAATATCTATTAATGCTATTTCATACAAAGACATACCGGGTCAAGTCATTGGATGCAGTAGTATCTGTGGAGTTCTGTATGATTACACTGTTGAAACAGGAGCTGGGAAACCATTATCCTTGTACAATGGATGGCTTATGGAAAACTTCAAGGAAGAGTGATGTGCTTTTGATATGAAAGTCTTATCATGAAGCCTTTTTCAATGGAAACAGGGCTATTATCAAGATGCATGGTCATCAGATAGAGTATGACAGGACGTGATGACATGGCAAGGCTCCAAAATCATATTAATATAAAGTACTTAACCTCTATCTAACATATTAATTCACAGAAGATAAAATCCCTACTAAATTCAAATTGATCTTGTAAAACTCCTTGTGTTTGTACTTGTTTCAATTATGTGCAAAGCTACACGAGGTCTATCTGCACTAGCCTTCACTAATTTTAAAGTAATAGACTGGAGGGGAGGTAGCTAGTCAACACCACCACCACCCACCAACTTGTGGACTATTTTACTCAAATAGTGAGACTTGACCATCACTCTTATAACAAGCTCATGGCTCCAAAATGTTTTTGGCGGTAATAGAACCCGAAACATGTAATGTCAACTCTATATACCGGCACGTTAACTACTTGTAAACATTTTAAAATGTTTTAAGCATATAATCATAACAGTAACTTTTTTAAATAACAACAAACAAAAAATATTTTAATTTATGATCATAAATACTTATATGTGAGACTATTGAATGACTTTATGCATTTAGAAAGATCAAATTATAGAATAGTAGCCACGTGGCCTTGTAGTTCTCAGATAAAATATGTAAATTTTTCTTTCGGTTTTATTAAAATCTTCGTAATTTTATACGTACTAGTTTTAGAAAAATGCTAATTAAAGTTTACAAACTTGATGGTACAATTTAAAAGATTTTTTACCTTTCAAATTATAACGTATTGTACACTTTTCTTTTATCAACTTGTTTATAAATTTAATTTCTGTTAGGGCTTCCTCTAACATCTGAAATATTTATCTACTAATATTGAAAGGATTGGTGATAAAAACCGTATATACAGAGATTTCAACAAGTGACTTGTCCCTAATTAGCTGTTAATTTCTGTGCAAAGCTACTTGAGAGTAATCTGTTCTAGTCACCCTTGATTTCAAAGTAATAGACTACAAGAAAGGCAGCTAGTCAACATTACCCACTACCAACTCACGAGCTCATTTTACTCGAATAGTGGAATTAGTCTGTTACTCTTATAACATACCCGTGGCTCCAAAGTGCAGAGCAGGATGTTTTCTTGCAGTAAAGGAGCACAAACCATGGAACCACAGTCTGGGCCACTGTTGCCCACTAGCTATTAGATGTACAAGTAATTACTGTAATAACTACTTGTTTTTTTAGATAGCCAATTCACTTCAATAAACCTTTCTCACCAACCTCACTTAAAACTAGAGAAATGAGACATTACTTTATAATGATGAGCAATAAATAATTTTATGTGGTTTGATTGAACTTTATTAGTTAATAAAATCAATTCTATTAATCTATTTTGTGAATAATAAACTTAATCTCATTGAACCTTGAAAAGCTAATGTAATATGGGTTTTTAATTTAAACCAACAGTAGCTGTTTCTTAAGCTTGTATTTACTGACTGCAAATCAAATTGTATATCGGTACAGAGGTATATTTATATATGGAGAACACCATTATTATTAAATAAAAAAAAACACAATGTACCTATCAATTTGTTTTTAAAACAATATCTAAGTTTACAAATTATTGTTCTATAAAATGTTTAACTTGTATACACTTCTTCCTACAAACATTTTTAAGGAATTCTCTTTTAAACAAAAGTAACTCTATTTCTCAGCTTTGTATTTTCAAACCTTTTTTATAATTTAACCAACTGCATTAAAGAGTAGCCAGTTTATTTTGTGCACTAAAAGTGTGATCTTGTGCTAGGGTAGTTAACTGCACGCCTCCATAATTTTGTAATTTTTTAGTTCATCAAAAACATGAGTACAAGGTTGGGAAAAAATGTATTTTGATATTTACAACTTCAAAAGCACTTTACATAATACATGCTAAATGACCAGATCAAAGTTCTCTAAGGATCAGGTATAGCCATCCCTAAGGATCGGGTATAGCCATCCATAAGGATCAGGTATAGCCATCCCTAAGGATCGAGTATGGCCATCCTTAAGGATCAGGTATAGCCATCCCTCCTTTAGAAGTGCTAACCAGAAAGAAGAATCATACAGTCAGCAATTCTTGACTCAAACTGTTAGAATAAGAACACTCAACAGTTGGAAGTGTGGAGTGTATGATCAGCAGACATATTGTGGTTTGAACCTTGGATCTTATGGTCTATAACCCATCGGCTTCGGAAACATTCTATACAAGTTCAGGCCATTCTTTTGTGTTTACTGACCGTTACATTTTCATACAAGTAATGATTCAAAATCTGTGGACATCTTGTCTCAGTCAATCAGCACATTCTAGCATAAGATTTGCACAAATACGGTTAATTTAGCCTTTGACCTAGAACCATACATTACCATCTTTTACTCAAGGTTAAACTAAAGGTTACTGAAAATCTTGAAATATCTTTGATAATCGCAAAAAGAATTTCTGAGGTACTTTTTTACAAAAATTGAATTAATTTTTATTAATATTTACAAAACACGTAGACTTAGGAAAAGATCATGGTTAGTAATACAAGAACTTAGTTAATGAAAAGTTCCTTCAGTAAGTAAATTAGAACAAACATATACGGAGTTAAGAAGAAAACCAAAACTCTTGGCAGTTCAAATAGGGTCATAGGCTATTTTTAAAGATGTACACAGTTTAGATCCTATACTTAAACTTAGATACAAATTGTTTACAATTACAATGCATGTTGAGATACATCTTTTCAAATTCTATTATCTCATTAGAAGCAAGTTGTGTTGATAATAAATTTTATTACTTGCACATTTTCGTGATTATACTGAAATATTGTATCAGTATTTAGACGAAAATAATGTTTTTTTAATAAATAATCCAGATAACGTTATTAAGAAGTCAATAGTACAATTAGAAAGTGTCGAAACAATAAATGAGTTTTCTTTAAGTGTCCTATTAGAGGTTGCAGTCAAACCTGAACAACTCGTGTGCACATGTCAGGCAGGACCTCAACGTCTAGAAACCAACTGCTCATCTGATCACAAAGTGCAACTATCCCTTCCCCATTTTTAAAGTACACTAGCCACTTCAATCATACATTCAACAGAAATGGTGCACATCATATACAGTGTCGGTAACGTTTGACAAATTCTATAACTTTCTTTATCATGCAGTATCTGTATTCTAGAGTTGTTGCAACAAGTGTTATAAACATTCTACTCTGCAACAATAACACTATGATTTGACAAATTCTATAACTTTCTTTATCATGCAGTATCTGTATTCTAGAGTTGTTGCAACAAGTGTTATAAACATTCTACCCTGCAACAATAACACTATGATTTGACAAATTCTATAACTTTCTTTATTATGCAGTATCTGTATTCTAGAGTTGTTGCAACAAGTGTTATAAACATTCTACTCTGCAACAATAACACTCTGATTTACAATTTTCAGTGTTTCATGCACTTTTCTTATTAGGAGTTAAATTTCAATTATTTCTACAGCAATTACTGAAATTACACACAAACAGAATTACAGAAACATACAGCACATTTCCAAACATAACTTTAATTACACATAAACAGAATTATAGAAACATACAATACAAAACACAACTTTCAAAAAACTATAATGTCTTCACATGTTGTGTTGAAACTACAATTCAATTTAATATTTTTATAAATGTTAATTACAAATTACTATTACTTTCTTATATAAGCATTTCAAAATTATTCTAGTCTAATACAGATTTCAATCTGCTAATATTTTCTTACAGATGGAGCTTCTAAAAATCACCCTACTCTAAATCAGAATGACTAGTTTTATTAATTTATTTACAAATTCAAGAAATACACCTATTGTTTAAATTACTTTTCGTTCTCAAATAGTTTTTCAAAATGGAGTTTCTAACAAACACAGTTTGAAAACAAAAAGGACATTTAATACTCTTATTCCTTGGTTTATTTATTCAATAATCATAAACCAGAAATAAGTGGAACAAGTACACATTTTCTTACTAAGATTTAGAAGTAAATTATACACTAAATAGAATTTTTACTCAATTAATCAATAATCACAAACCACAAATAAATGAACAAGAAATGTGAAGACCTACAAGGGTGATTTTCTTCAGTTATATTTAGTGTATAGTTCACTTCTAAGTGTTAGTGAGAAAGCAGTAGTAACACAATATTTTCTTGTTAGCTTGTTTCTGTTTTATATATGGAAGGGATATTTAAGTTAAAACAACAACTACTGTTCAGGTAGCCCCGCTACCGTTTCCTGGCTTTTCTGACAGCAAACATAACTTCGTCAAGGATGACTCGGGTTCCTTTCAAGATTGCAGCATGAAGCAAATACTGGAGAAGTAGAGCACCAAAACCCTTATAGAGTCCCGCTGCTCCTTCTTCTTCTAAGATTGTTTCAATACAATCAAAAGGTCCTTCATAACGGGTGATCACGGGCGTGACAGAAGTTCCACAGTCCAGGTTGTCAATGATGGTTCTAGTTCCTTGAAGAAACAGCCTGGAATAAAATGGAAACTGTTAGCCCCATTGTTATTTGGTGATACTTTAGAATTAATTATGGAATATTATCAAACTTGTACTCCACATTATCGTTACTAACCTATCAAAGGTTTCACATCAGAGTCAAAACTTGCAAAAATAAAAATTCTATTTCCTTCATGGAGAAAATCCTATAATCACAGAGCCGTTTTTATAGGTAGAATCAAACAGATAAAATTTCTTAAATATTGAAGAGTTACTAAACAGTACAATGTGAGTGCAAATTAGGCCTAAATTTATAGAGTTGAAGTCTCAATGATTAAAGGCATTTGGCTGACGATTGGTCAAAGTTAGACATTACGTATAAAAGATTTTTGGCACACCCAAACAAACTTCTCTGTTTACTTAAAGCAGCATAGGTATCAGAACAGGAGTGGCAGCCTCCAACACAAGAGAACCAGCACCCACTTTGATCCCCTCATAAATGATGTCTCCCAATAAACAGGTAAATTTCTTAAGTTAATTTAGCATCCAATGGTACAGCATCAAAAAACCCCTCTAGTTTACACCTGCTTTCTGACAAGCTTGATTCATCTCCAACTTTGTCCCTCTTTTGTTTCCAGCACTTATGAGCAAATGCAACATCAATACTTATCAGCTAATTATAATTAGAAAATGAATTTAAATAAAAAAGTTTTGAATAAATTAAAGAAATGTCTCGTCAAATTCAAATTTCTATGAAACCAAACTTAATTAGAAATGTAATGATACTGTTATATTTTTCATGTCACAATTTTTGAAATATGAGCTTTGCTGTGTAGTTTTATGTTACACACCATTCAAAATAGTCTAAAAATAATCAACATAAAGCTTCATGTAAGTCCAAAATAGAAACAATCACTCCTGATAGATCTTAAACAGATTAAATTTTACTTGTTACTTACAGTTGTCCTCTCCATGTGATTTGTTAAACGAGAGAGTTGTTTAATGGGTTTTTATTGGTCACAAGACACCTTTAGGGTAACATTAATATGACCAGATATAAGCAAGACTTTCCACAATTTTTGAACAATGCCATAGATATAATGTTTGTAACATTAATATGACCAGATATAAGCAAGACTTTCCACAATTTCATTGTTCAACAAACATTATATCTATGTAAATTGTGGAAAGTCTTGCTTATATCTGGTCATATTAATGTTACATTGTTCAACAAATATCATATCTACGACAGTACTTGAAACTAACAGCTAGTGTTTGTTATTTCTTTATTGTTACTTTCATTAACAGTTTTGATCAAAACGTTTAATGTATCTGATTTTATTATTTGTTTATGTATTTTTTTATTATTATATTTTTGATATAGACATTGTTTTCCATTGATAACTTAGTATATGGTCCTAACCTAGATCTCCTAAAGTGGCCGAACCTCGGGAGATATTACTGGGTTAAAAGCTGAAAATAATGTTAGCAGTGAGGGGTACCTACACAACTGATGAAGCAACGAATTCTCATCTTTATGAGAAAAGATGTAAGAAAAGTATATCTAATTAGCCACACTCATTACCAGGTTCGTTTTTAGTTTTCGTCTATGTAGGTACCTTGCTCTGATCATAGATTAATATTAATTACAATTAACATCAATGATATGTTATTTTTACAATGGTTTATGTTATTATGACCCTACTTACCCTGGTTAATAACACAAACCTGACACTGAGAAACTAGTATACTCATGGTGGAAAAAAGATAATATTCCATCTGATAGAAAAAAAAACACACTAAAAATTACTTATATTAACCCTAGACTTCCTTACATTGCTTTTATTAACCCTAGACTTCCTTACATTGCTTGTATTAACCCTAGACTTCCTTACATTGCTTGTATTAACCCTAGACTTCCTTACATTGCTTGTAATAACCCTAGACTTCCTTACATTACTTGTATTAACCCTAGTCTTCCTTACATTACTTGTATTAACCCTAGTCTTCCTTACATTACTTGTATTAACCCTAGACTTCCTTACATTACTTCTATTAACCCTAGTCTTCCTTACATTACTTGTATTAACCCTAGACTTCCTTACATTACTTGTATTAACCCTAGTCTTCCTTACATTACTTGTATTAACCCTAGACTTCCTTACATTACTTGTATTAACCCTAGACTTCCTTACATTACTTGTATTAACCCTAGACTTCCTTACATTACTTCTATTAACCCTAGTCTTCCTTACATTACTTGTATTAACCCTAGACTTCCTTACATTACTTGTATTAACCCTAGACTTCCTGACATTACTTGTATTAACCCTAGTCTTCCTTAAATTACTTGTATTAACCCTAGACTTCCTTATATTACTTGTATTAACCCTAGACTTCCTTACATTACTTATATTAACCCTAGACTTCCTTACGTTGTCGGTATTAACCCTAGACTTCCTTACATTACTTGCATTAACCCTAGTCTTCCTTACATTACTTATATTAACCCTAGACTTCCTTACGTTTTTTGTATTAACCCTAGTCTTCCTTACATATATCAAAGACCTAGTCTATTTTTTATGTTTTGGCAGGAGATGAGTATGAGGTTTTAATGAAATGATTTGTATACCAAACATGTTACTGGATAAAACATATAATAAAACAAAAACATATTTGTTATATATTCATGACATTTTAATGTGACAAAACAAAAACTTAAGACATAAACTCAACTCTTCTCTCAAGAGGTAGATCTGTCTTATAAAATAGCTTTGGTTTCTCTAATTGACACTTATATGTTTTACAGACAGCATTAATATAAACTGAACTATGCTATTATTTCTACTCTGATAATTAACGTGTTTCAAACACAAAACTAATTTTAAAACCTAAAAATGAAGAAGAATACAAGACCTATGTAGGACCGTCTCGCTGGGGAAGACAATGATATCTGCCACAAAATTTCCCATAAAAATGGCAGTTAAGTCAGAGAAGCACTGATGTGTTACTCCGACATGGTCTTTCTCTTCGATTCCAAGCTGCAAGTAACAAAAGGTGAATGAACACAATATCAAAGAACATATTAACCTTTCTTTTTAACACTAGGGTTCCATTAGATATAGTTTAAATATTCAAAACAAAATGTGCGTTCGTAAGGAATTGTATCTATAAAAAGTAACAAAACCATTAATAAACAAAGAAACAGTGATATGTATACATCTCAGAAAATTAACTTAACACTAACAAGAGTTCACGAAGAAGAGGTTTTCAATTACAGTTTCTTCACAAATCACCTATTTCAATGCTTTCTGGACTGGGGTGGGGGTGGGATATGAGTGACTAACATCCTTTTACTTATTCCCTCCTCACAGTGAACAAAATTATCCAAATTGCATGAAACTTAGTTAAAACTAACTAAACTGCATCTGGTATCACCTTTAAAAAATAACATAATGTGGTTTAACTTTTCTACTATTTTTAGGATTTAAAACTTTTGTCAAGAGACAATGTTTTGAAAAAAAAACATTAAAAATAACTTCTTTTTATGTTAGAATTGAATTTTTTTTTCTTGTTGATCAGAAAGTTTCATGTATATATATTTACACACAATCAATTTCAACTAGAGTGATATTAATTAACGTATTTCTTTTGATACTTCATTTTGCTAATTGTAGTAGACACCATTTGTGTCTATAAATCATAAAAAACATGGCAAAGGTTTATTTGTGATCTACCAGCTGACCTGTTATAAAGGTCAAGTCAAGCTAAGTAACAACATTTTAGCTAACAATATTCTTGGTTGAAATCAACTTCTATCTAATAAATATATTATTTTCAATAAATGATAAGTTATTTTACTGATTTTAACCAGCTTACTCTCTCCTTCTCTCTCTCTATATTGAGGTTAATGAACCAACTACTGATTTCAACCAGCATACCCTCTCCTTCTCTCTCTGTATGTTGAGGTTAATGAACCAACTACTGATTTTAACCAGCTTACTCTCTCCTTCTCTCTCTCTGCCATTGAGGTTAATGAACCAACTACTGATTTTAACCAGCTTACTCTCTCCTTCTCTCTCTCTGCCATTGAGGTTAATGAACCAACTACTGATTTTAACCAGCTTACTCTCTCCTTCTCTCTC